CTGCGGGAAGTATATTGTTTTGTTTTGTTTTTTGTTTTTTTGTTGATGAGTGAGTATAGGGGTGGGATTTAATAAGTTTTCTTCGTCCCACTCCTTTTTCAGGCAATTTTTGTTTTTTGTTTTGTGCATTTTATGTTCAATATAGGTATTTGTTGTGTTCAATATAGGTATTTGTTGTGCCTGGAAATGAACAAATAAATGAATGAATGAAATGAATGAAAGTAATTCCACATATACATGAAGTAAAACAACCTTAGACTTTGTCAAACTGTCCTGTGAACATTCCTGTCTTGTGAACTTTGAGAAATCACCTTGATGGAATACGTTCACAAAGGACACCGTTACACTTTTGACTGTAGGTTTTTCCTTCAGCTGGCCCATTTTGTTCTCATGAGCTAAATTGTTTTTTTAAACTTTTATAGGTGTAGTTGTGTTCAAGCAGTGCATACAGGTCAAAACTAACATAAAGTAAATCTTGAGGGACTATTTTAGTGTGACTGATCTTAATCGCTTTATCATATTTCATCAGAGATTAATAATGAATCAGATTCCCACCTGGGTTCTGACCCCCAGTCTGCTCCTACACATGTTGTGTAAGTGAAAAGACACATATGTCTTCATCTCAACAGCAATTAGTTCGTTTGAAAATCCTGTCATTTTAAAGGTAGTTAAGACAACACAAATTTACTGGCAATTTAAAACTTGGTGTTTAAAGTTATTAATTTAGTAATGATTCTGTAATGATATCCTCATACTGTTACTTGTGCAGTTTTACAAACAAGGCTCAGTGCTTACACACACACACACTGCACATGGGAATAGAAATCTAAGTGTTTGCATTCTGTGGCACAGATGTTATGGGATCTGTCTACCTGCCCCATTTGGGATTAGTGTTAATGTGGTAGCTTCACACAGTTTAAGCAGCTCTAGGAAAGTGTTCTTAATAGTAATGTGTAATTGCCAATTTTAGTCATTTAAAACCATGTGTTCGTCCCACAGTGCCCCCCAGGACTAAGTCCTATGAAGGATGGCACCGGGTGCTACGACCACCACATCGGCATCGACTGCTCCGACGGTTTCAATGGAGGATGTGAGCAGCTGTGTCTCCAGCAGTTGGCCCCTCTAGAGGATGACCCGACACTCTACAACATCCAGATGTTCTGTGGGTAAGAAACAACACATTCTGTGCTTTTTATTTTTAATTATTATAGCAATATATTTCACAATTCTGTCATGTTAGGTTTGTCACATTTTACATGGTCTATGGTCAGTCAATAACAAAAACAAAATAAATCCCTTTGGTATGCTGCCATCGCTATATATACAGAGAGAGAGACAGAAAGAGAAGAAAAGTTCCCAGATTCAGGTGATATATATAGTTTTTGCTTTTAAATGAAAACAGATGTGTATTCATAACATTTAGTGCAAAATGAGCCAGTAAAAAACGTAAAGCAGTATGGTGGTGGCACTTTAAGACTCCTGATTGTGGAGTCTTAAATATACCACCATTAACATTTATTAAAGCAAACTTTGACGTGAGTGTTGAATTAAAAATACCAAAACTAGAAAAAAGGGCTTTAATGAGTTCCATTATGACCCCTGGGGCCTGATTTATAAAAGTGTTTATCTCTGAAATTAGTTTTAAGATAATACCTAACAGTGCGCTCATTTCTGGAAGATATGGTGCATGAAAGTAAGTAAAGCAATTTATGCACCTGTGATTTATATCTGTCAAATCAACTGAAATTTAAAGAAATCTGCCTTGCTGCTTTTCCTTATGTAATGCCAACACAAATGGGGCTTTACTCAGGAATAGCCTTGGATCATGGACCGAATGAGAAAAGCAAACCTTTTGGGACATAAGAGCAGGTGATTTAAGCCCAGTGACACATATCACACAGTGGACTGTATAGTGGGTCACAAGGCTGGGCAAGAAATAATGTAAAGCTAAAGCCCAAACTCTGACTCCAGTACCCTAGTATCATATCATATCATGTGTATGTGTGTGTGCGCGCGTGTGTGTGTGTGTGTTTTATTCTAGTTTATTTTATTTATTTATTTTTTTTCTTGGAACAGCGTCTTTACCTTCCAAAGTAGTTTCTGCAAGTCTCCAAAACAGATATGCTCATAAGCTGTAATACAGTCACAACTATCCTATCAGTGTCTCACAGTGCAGGGGAAACCATCTTAATCTGTAATAAGGCACTTCCTATGTGTTCACTTCCACGTGCACCCTGGGTTATTGCTGTACTAACTCACTGGCATCAAAGGCTAATCCACTCTTGAACCTCGGGGTCGTCTGCAGTGTGTTTTTCTTGTACATCTTTCACATTTTACTGTTCTTAACTACTAGTTGCAGAAACAGTTTAGAATACAATGAATTATACAGTAGCACAAGTTAGACTCTATGTCTTAATACTGGTGCTTGTCTGTGTCATTTTATTGTTATCATCTGCACATTGAATTGTGTGCAGTGATAGATTTACAGCACGGAAACCACGCAAACAAACAAACCATTAAAACACTTAATGTACAACAGTTTGTTGTTTCAAGCGTAAGCTTTGGCTTGACGACGTTTAATAATTCAGAATATTTACCGTTCTCATCTACAACGACACAGTACAGTGTGATGTGGTTTACTGGAACTGCATGTAAAAATTACACATTTGCAATTAATTAGTGACTCCTTGGAATCAGCTGATTGTTTTCCATTATTTATTTAGTTGTAACATATCAAATTAATCCATCGAAAATGTTACTTTCACACAATAAAAACTGCACGAGTTACAAGCCCTCAAAGTAAGTAGAGATGGGTTTAAATTTGGTCCTTTTTAGTCACATTATTTTTTTCAGCTTTTTTACAAGCCTTCTGAATTATTGAGTACAGGAACAGGCTGATTTAACATGGATTATATCATAGAAAAACACTGCTGATTTAATGACATTGACAGAAACAAATACTGGAGCCCTGGACATTGTATGCATTTTCTCTTAATTCAATATAAACCATTTAAATAAAGTACTTTAAGGTCAACTTTAAAAAAGTCATATAACCACGTGGGATAGGTGACTGGTCAAAACAATTTTTATATAAATAAATTTCAATGTTAGGGTCAAGATTCCTTCTCTCAGTTTATTTTCTAATAAGAATCATCTAACTCTACTTGTGTTATGGCCTCAGTCACGCAGGCTAAGAAACTGGCCGTCACCCCCTGTTTGACATGACTATATTTAATCATTTTGACTCAGAAGGGCTACAAAATGGGCCTACTGTCAACACGTAGATTAGAAATGAGGCTTTTCACCAAGCTATGCAACAATCCTTTAAAGTATACCCAAAATGTTTTTAAGATTTCTCCATAAAACAGTTAGAAAACCATCCAGGGTGCTAGTTCTTATGTAAATATCCCATGATACTGATGCTCAACATCAGTCAGAGAAAGCTTGGTCATGAATAGTGTGGTGTTGTTTTATTGGATTAGATGAAGTTGGTGTAAATTTTGAACATAGCATGAGGATGTTTTGAATTAAAAAGAAAAGAGACTCTTGAATAATAGCAATTAATAATATAAAAAATAATACAAATCCAATAAAAACTAATCAGACCAGCTTTTTAAACTTTTTTGTGTACTACGTTCAGTCCCTGTTCATATGTGATTCAATACGCACTCGCCTCTTTTCCTCACTTAGTTCTTTAGAAATCAATGAAATACATTTTCTTGGTTACAGCAGAGCAACCCAAATCTAGCCTGAAACTAAACATCCAAGTACACAATCCATCAGCATCATGCTGGTCTGGACAAAGTCAGCTGATTAAACAGGCTGCATCTTTGGAAAGAGTTGGTCTGGCTGTGTCTGGGAAAAAACATCAGTGTAAGGTTTATGGAACAGATGAATGAATGTGGATGTATTTCTTCATGTGAGGTGATTCTTTCATGGTGGTTAACTGACAGAGCAACATAGTGTAAGTTGTCCCTTAGATTAATAGGAAATGGATATGAATGAGGCGAAGATGACGGAGGAAGAGAATGAGATGATGATGGAGGAGGTTGTCACAGGCTAATTAGTTTTAAAATATTGAGCAATTAAGACGACTTGAATGTTATACTTGACTAGATTTGGACCTGCTAATATTTTGAACCACGCTGATGCTGGGTTGCTATCATCATCAGATCATCTCTTCATATGCATGTAACTAAAGTGTCTTCAAATATCAGTGGTCAGTGATGATCTACAAATGGAAACCACAAAGCTTTATATACAGAGATTAAAAGTAGGGCTGCCATGATTAGTCGACTAGTCACGATTACGTCGACTATCAAAATCGTCGTTTGAAGCTTTGTAAGATCCCAAAAGACGCAGGAATAAGTAGCAGGATTTAAGAGTGTAATAATGGACTGAAACAGAAGGTGGCAGCACTGCATGTACAAGGATGCCAGCTGCCGTTAAACCCCGAAGAAGAAGAAGTAACTCTGTCCCAGAATTCATAGCGCAGCCCTGTCACTACCCGATCCGTACCGGAAACCCGATCGGTACCCCGCATGCGCGAAAGGTGTCTACTTCCGGTCGTAGCGTTTTACGATAGTTATGGGTCAGAGTATCTGTTAAGATGTTAAGAATAACAAGTATATCTTAAAATGTTTGCAATAATGAAGCATTTCAGTACAATGTAGACAAAAACGAAAAATAAAAAGAAAGTTACGGATCAGGACTCTCCGATCCTTACTGCGCATGTGTAAAGTCTGACCGTACAAATCGGGTCTACCCGATCCGTACCGCGCATGTGCAGATGTTTTCTTCTTCTTCTGTTCGTTTAATGGCAGTTTACTCCCCAGTGTACGAGGATACCGCCACCTGCTGACCGAGCGAATAAACCCTATTATAAACTGAATTATCGTCATTACAAACGTGTGTTAAATCTGATTTAGCGATAGTCGAGTGTGTTTATGCTTGTCTGTGAGGAGAGGATTGTTGGAATAGTGATGATGATGTGCGCTATCACTGTCAATTGTCAGTAAACACTTAATCTGGCTGATGAATCTACACGTGAGATATTACAAAGTCTGCATTATTAACTCTGTAATTAGGCGCCATTCTTCTTATTTTACGGCGCTGTTGCTCAATCGGGGGACGCTCTCTGTTGAGGAGAAAAGCATGAATTTCTTTGTATACGGATTATCCATTGTTTAAATGTCCCGGGCAGTCGAAAAGGAGGCAGAGCTGTTGAGAAATGCTAGGAGCTAACTGGGCGCTAACCGTATCATTCAAATATATTGAATGTCGCAATGTTGGCAAAGAGAGGAAGTGACGTAAGATTTGCGCATGCGGGGTACCGATCGGGTTTCCGGTACGGATCGGGTAGTGACAGCCCAGCTCAGTTTCCAACAATGGCGGCAGCTAGTTAGTTTTAATATTACTCTTATTATTCTTTCTGGGTCACAAAATAAACGTTTAACATATTTTCAGGCGAGAATGTAGCTGTGTAAACCTCAAATATCTGCTCAGTTTATCAAGACACCCATATTTTCAAAAGCGCTCCGACGTTTTCGGAGACGTCTGTTACCCACTAGCTCGATAGCTAGCCGGGGGCTAGGCTCACTAGCGCCGTGAGAACACCGGACTCCCGGCAAATCGTTTTCAAACCCACCGCCGTCTTTCGCTACTCAGGTTAAACAGATATATGAGTCACTTAGATAACTTAAAAATGTTATTGTTTGGCTTTTTTAGTATTTTATTTGTTCCTGAGTAAATCGGTTTGGCTGAGATTAAAGTTATAGTTTTTCAAATTCAAATTCAAATTTTATTTGTCACGTACACAGTCATACACAGTACGATATGTAGTGAAATGCTTGGACAACTGCTCGTGACCTAAAGAAAACAAAAAAAGGAAAGGCTATGAATAAGATAGGAAATAAATATGAAAAATTAAAAAGGGTAAATTTAACTAGGAAGGAATAAAATATAAATTAAGGTTAAAAATAAAATAACTGTACAACAAAATACACAATATAGAACTATATAAGAATGTATGAAGAAATATAAATAAATATATACACAATAACAGCAGCTGTACAAGTATTAACTGGAAATGAAGAATATAATGTCCAGTGTTGTGCAATCCACATTATGTCTTGTGCAGTGCAAATATGCTTAAAGTGATTTAAGTGATGAAGTGAAAACAATGTCCAGAATGTCCAGTGTGTGTGTAAGAACTATATGTGTGGGTCAGTTATAGATTAACAAATATATAACAAAGATTATCAACAATCTTAGTTATAGTTTTTTATCAGAAGTGTGAGATGCTCCAGAATTTACTCCGGTGTCCTGTTATACTTTAGATAGCAAGGAGTTTATTAAACTTCACCGAAACAATCTGCAAATTTCATTAAAATTTAATAAACTATCATCTTGTCTTTATTGTTAGTTAGCACATACCTTAAACACTTACAGCTGTAAGCTAATGATAGTTATATAAGAGCAGATGCTGCTGGTGCAATAAGCTGTCGTTTTACATCCAATGGATGATGATCTGATTAGTCGACTAATCGCAAAAATAATTGGTGACTAGTGACTAACAAAATAATGGTTTGTGGCAGCCCTAGTTAAAAGCAAACTGAACAAAGTTGGCATTTTTATTCTGTCACATGAAGCCTAATAATAACTAGCATAATATTTAGAGTTACTAGAGACGGCCACGAACCTTCTGCTAAGATATGCTGGATATGAAGAGTTTTGATCTAAAGAGAGTCTTAACATAAGATGTGTTTAGAATATCTGCAGCTCACGAGTCATACTAGCATTTGGCCTTTTAGCCTTTGCGCTGTTTGAATGCAGAAAGCTGCCAAGATCTGTTTCTTACTTTTCTCAGTAGACATAATTAAAACAAAAGCAACGACTTTTGATCATCTCAGCTGAGAAACGGCACATTTTCCGATAAACAACACTTTTCTAATTGAACACAACAAGCTGCTGTCATCTTTAGGGCAAACATCATGTTGCAGGCGTACGAATTTGTGTCGAATTTACATAAGCGGGTGATACAGACTGCTGCTTCATTGAATTCTCAACAACAGCATTTTGTTGTCGTCTCTTCCCATAGTGCAGATGTGGCTAATCCTCCACTTTTCCCATCGGAGACTGGCATTAGCTTTGCGACATTTAGCATCCAGGAGAGAGCTTCTCATAGTGTAAATCCCTGACAGATTATCTTTTTGCTTTCCACCCCACTCCACCCTCCATTTCACTGCCTCCACTTTGTGTGCCTTTGATTCATTTCAGAGTATATTACATACTGAGATGTCAAAACATCATCAATATGAAAGAACCTTGAGAGGACTCTCAGTGTGTGGATTCTAGCTCCTTTCTTGAAATGGGGGATTATGTGTCAGTTGAGCAGAAAGGATTTTGCTGATTGTAGTGAGTTGTGAAGTCATGAGTTGTTCATGCTTTGAAGTTAGCAAAAAGATACTTTTCTGAATATTGATACATGAAATCATACTTTTTTTTTAATTTGGCAACTGCACAGAAACCAAAACATAAGAAATTACATTTATTAAGTTGTGGAAACTCTACAACTTGGTACTAACTTCAATAGGTGTGTCTTTCAGATATTTCCCCAATTTTTAGTTAGAATAAACTGGTTGGTTTAGACTAACCTGACCTGGAAGATAACTTGAGAAGGGCTCATATTTTTTAACATGACAAGATCTGCCTGACATCATCACAGTAGTGTTTGTGGGTAGTTATATAATATAAGCCCTGTCAGGCTGTGGACAGGATTATGCATGCATTTATAGACTGGGTGCTCAAGTAAGACACGAAGGGGGAGGACCAACCAACATCTGGTTGTCAGCTTCAGTCTGGACCTTTCTGGTAGTCTGTAGTTAGTACATGTGCCTGTACAATTCTTTGTTTGCTGCAGAAACTATGGCTGTTACCTAAATGTAATGGATGGCGTGTCAGCTACCAGCGATCAAGTTGTCCTGTGTTTGTCTGCATGTGTTTCATTTACCTTCTTTGACATGAGTAAAGTAAGATATTGACTTGTTGATCGTTAGATTGCACACAGATTGTGGAGAATTAAATCTAAGTAAATATCAAAAAGACCTCCATTGATTTTTTTTAATAGATCAAAGTTGGTAACTTTGGGTAAAGTTAATGTGTTTTTAATTGAATATACTTATCTACTTTTTAATAGAATTAAAAGGTAGTTATTAAAGGTCTGTGTTAACTTTTGTCTACAGATGTGTCAGATTATTATTACTGTTGTTGTTGTTTACTTCAGCTTTGTTCAGTTTTTCAGTGTAAACATTTTTTTATTTTCAAGAATAATAAACATTTGTCGTCTGCACACTAAAGATTGATTTGCTCAATAACTACAATATAAGGAATCAAAAGGAAAATGCCCGAGCAGAAAACCCTAAAACAAACAGACAATCGAGTTAGTAATGAAACTGAAGTCAGTGTTGAAAGGAAAACAAAAGAAAAAGGAAATCCGTGGATCAAGTAAATGACTTTAATCCCTGTTTGCTGCAGGTGCATCGAAGACTACAAACGCGGTCCAGATGGGAGGTCGTGCCTGCCGCTGTCTGAGGCTTGCACTGAGGGAATAGACTGTGGAGAAGTGCTTGATATCCCTGCCAACCAGACGGTGTTTGGAGACCTTTTCTACGGATACAACAACCACACCAAAGAGAGCACCTCTGGACAGATCCTCAAGGCCACATTCAGGTAAGCACATGAGACTTTGGTGGAATGGAGCGTGTGGGACATTGTTCTGCCATTTGTACCTCAGCTGGGAAACACTTGGCACAGGACTTTCAGCTCCCACAGTGCCGATATCACAGTGAATGTTGGTCTTCATTTAAAGAGAGAGAGAGAGACTTTTAGCTTGTTCTCAGCACAACCTCCTTACTCACTTTTTTAAACTTTATTCATTTGAGGATTAAAATTCTAAGGAGCATGTATGTATGCATATTTGGTAAAAGTCTTCTCATATATAGTACAGGTATGACTGGACTATATGTTTGACACACAAAGCAGATTCATAGATCCTAGTCAATGAGCCTTTGACGGGAGTAGAAGAAGAACAACAGAGAGCTGAAAGAAAGACTAAGAACAGCACTAAGGTTCCCAGTTAAAATGATGGCACCCTTAACAGAACAAAATCCCATCCAAGGCTGAACATAGATTATATATATCAACTGCTTGTTAAACACTGCTGCTTGCTGTCTTCACTCAAGATCAAAATCTATTCGTTTTCCCTCGTACGAGACTGAAGAACAGGGGAGACAAAGCCTTTCGTTCTCCAAGGCTCAGGACCAGTTCACCACTCCAGCTCCATTTAGCTGACTTCCTTTTGTTTTTTATTTAGTTTTAGTTTTACTTTGTGACTTTTCTGTGAAAAACGAGTGTCTGTGAATAAACGTTACTTATTCAACGGGACGTCCACTGCTGCCTGGACCTTCACCAGGCTGGGCAAAGGATTCGGAGAAAACTGGATAATTATGTGGTCGCGACAAACACTTGGTAACTACTTTACTCCACACTCAACCTCTTAAGCACCAACGCCCCCAGACACGGGGGCAAAAGGGAGGAGATCGCATTTAGGGTCAGGTGTGCGTGCTTAAGATGTTAACTTCACACTTTATGAGTGCTGAAAATAAGGTAACTACCACTGCTGCTGGTAGTTACCTGCTTACTAGGTCAGACTGATGCTCTTTTAAATTATATCAATCTACAAAACACTGCAATAAATAAAGATTACTGCTTTAGCTTTTGGTTCTCTCCAAACGTCTATAGCTACTGCAGTGATATCAGTTTTATAAATAATTATAAAGCACTGATGTTTCTCAGTTTTGCTTTTTAATTGGTTTCACAGTGGACAAGCTCAGGCCCCGCCCCTCACACCTCAAAGGCTTTACTTCATTAAAGAACTGAACGCCAAGATTTACGTTTGCAGTACAGAGTTTAGTCTGAATGTCACCAAAGTATGTTCCCTTTAGCAGAGACGCAGACTTGCAGTGTATATTGATGCAAATATGAACATACCCAGGAATCCATAGCGATAAAGCTTACAAGCGGATGACTTTGTGTTACTTTACAATAAAGATGCAACAATTATAACAATGTTTGTTTGTGTCAAACCACAGAAGCAACAGATTTTCATTTGCTCTCAGTGGACACAGTTAAGTCACTTTAATGGTGCACAGAAGGACAAATAAAGCCGTGGTGACACATCAAAACTGAAAGGACGCGACAGCTGTTTCTTTTTTCTTGTTATTTTTAATTGTCGTGCTTAACATACACACAGAATTTAACATATCTGAAGAGGTACCAAATAAATGTTCATGTGGTTTCCCCTTTAGGTATAAAAATTCTGTTTTCCCTCAAAGTAATAAATCAGGGAACAGCATTTAACCTCCCCATCTGCATATGTAGTCAGTGTTGTTTGCTCTTTATGACACTTTGTATAGGGCTTTGGAGCGTGATGTCACGAAAGGGAAGCGTGGTCAGGATTTTTGGTTGAGGCGCCATCTCCCTGGGCCGAACAAAGCTCAAGCGAAAGAGGAGCGAAAAGCACACACATCAGCTACAGTTCGTACTTGCTGTGTGGTCGGCTGTAATGTTCGATCGCACGACCGGCAAGGGAATAAGCTTGAGAATGGTCTGTCTTTTTATTCTTTCCCAACCTGGAAGCAACCAGGGGGAGCTCATATAGCGGACCTTACCAAAAGAAGGCATCTAGCCTGGATAGCCGCCGTGAGACGAGCTGATATCCAGTTCTCTTTCATCTCCAAATATCTGTTGGTGCTCCAGACATTTTCATTCCAATAAGTTCAATATATGTTCATGTCACTCTTTATAGCTTAATAATTTTGTTGTTGAAGCGCTCGGAGGTTATAGAAATTGCGAACAAACATCGTATTGAGTGACTTTGCAGACATGCTATGTAAAGATTCGCTAATTCTCACAGACGGCAAACGCAACGACAACAACAGAGAGCACTAGTCGGAGGTAAACACCACCCCCACCCCAACCAAAGGGTTTTAAGTAATATCTAACCGGATTATCAATGTAGTAGTTTGCATCTACTTTACACATATGGAGACATAATATGACAACGAGATTTTTGCAAAGGACGCAAGGACGATAGCGGTAAGTCGTCTGGGTCTCTACTCCACTGGCGTACTTCAACTCTATTTTTTGCACTTTATTTTCGCTTCGCCTCCGGACGCAATCAGTCTCTATACCGTCCTTTTTCTTTTGAGCTGCTTTCAAGCATGTTTCATGCAGTCGTCCTTCCGACACAATGTGTTTGTTTTGATTCGTGGCCCAGGAAAATGGCGCCGCGCTCCCACAATACCTCAACTCCAAAGCCCTATATTCCACGTTGACCTGGGTTGCCAGTACAAATATGACTTCATTATTATCTGCAATTCTTATGTTCTTCTGTACTGAAAATCCAAAACTCGAGAAGCAACAAACAATATAAGAAAAAGGGAAATTTAATTCCACCTTCGTTCACACAGATAATAATCATTGTGCCCAAAGCATTTTTAAGAAACTACGCCGCTGATGTTGGCATTAGTGCTGTGGCTCAACCTTTCAGCTTTTCTTGGAGTAGAATATGGTTCAGGTCACAAAACAGGAAGCTGTTCATACATAATCTGGAGGCAAATGTGTCTCTACTGGTAGGAAGGAAAGATCAAATCCGTATCTGTAAAGGTTATTTCATGGTGGAGTAAGGATTTTGTTTGAGTTTTTATGCCATTTCCCTTTCTGAAAAAGTAAATGACAAAACAGGATGTTTCTCCTGGCTGCGTATTATTTAACACAAATAAAAGGCATTGCCTCTTTTGAGAGACCTAATGTATATATCCAACAGTACAGGTGAAAAGCAACGCACTGTCCCTCTCATAATCTCTACAGAGATCAGAATGATTAGTGGAGTGCTTTGAGGGTGGTTAATTATCACTCGCTGCATGTGGCAATCATTTCCACTAAACTCAGGAAGCCGGAAGGTCAGCAAAGTCATCTGCGGCCCACGAATTTAATTTGGGCCATGCATGGATTCTGCTGCCCGGAGGCCAATCACCCACTTAGGGATCGACCGCTAGAGTCGTAGAGAGGAAGGGACGCGTGAGCCAGGTTAATAGTTAATATCATCAAGAATCTAAATCTCAAAAGCTCTGATCTCATTTGAAAGCGCTTGTGCTTCCTGTTCAGATGAGGTGGTGGAAGAGGAAGGAAAGACTCTGTAGGGAGGCATGGTTAATGCAAGGCCTAATTATTGGAGATAGCACCAAATGGATTGAAACTGACCAGGAGTCAGTGTGCTGAAATTGAATCTAAGGAACAAATTGGCTTGAAAGTAAAATGAATCAAAGTTGCAGGAAGAAAGCGTTGCATCCACAGATGTGTGTCGGGAGTTGTTCCAAAACCAATAACATGAACATAAGTGTAACAGTGAATGTTGGCCTTTGGAAATGCATGCGTAGCTTGCAATGGTATCTGTCACCAAGGAAACTGAATGTCAAATTTAATGATACATAGCAAGAATTACTAGCTGGCGGTCAAGTTTCAAATGAGCACAAAAAGAGCTTCCTGTAATTAACATTGCAAAGCTGTACTTTATGTAGCACCTTAGAACCTCCGATATATTTTAGTGACAGAAAATCTTGGATCTTAACAAATTCTGTGCAAATTATACACCGCAGGTCTACTTAAGGCAAATATCAGCCAATGACATGGTCACGGTGCTAATCCTGTCAGCTAATAACAGGAAACTGAGGTTACAGTTTGCAAGTGTTCACTAAAATGTAGTCAACATTATGTCCATTTTGCTGAACAGTTAAATGTACAAATGATAAACCATGACAAATGCACATACTGAGAATTGGGACAGTTTAAGCTGAATGTTTAAATACTTCCGATTTTGTGAAAGTGAAACAACAAATATGAATGAATGAATAAGAATAAAAGTGTACCCAGGAAATTCTGCCTTATGTAAACCATAGGATGCCATGAGCTTCAGCTTTCAGCTGGAACTCATCACGGACACTTACAGACAGTGTTTTTCTTCTACTTCTTCCTTTTTCAATCACAGATACACAGACAGAACATTACCAGGCAACATTCCTAATGGACTTCATGGTAATTAACTAGAGCTCATATAGTCTGAAACCAGCCATATTTGTCATTTTAATCGATGAAAGTCAGCTCAGGCTAAAAATAAAAGGCCTGCTAGCCTTACCTGAATGTTTGGTACATTACTCTCTACTTAATACACAGTTTAATAAGAGATTTGCTGACACTGATGCACATCTAGTTATTTATTTATTTTGAAGGGAACAGATTTCAAGCCTAATACTGGGATGTAGAATCCAGCATTTTACAGAGTGTGACCAGAGCGATGGATGAAAAAAATCTGAATGTGTAATCTGTCGTTTGTGAGAGCCATGAAATAAATTGCAAGGTTACTCCAAGGAGGAACAGCAGGGGAGGTAGGGTGCCATCTTCCTTTTAAACACAGGCCAGTACAGTGGATTTATTTGCTCTAATGTCATTCTCCTCTGAAGCCACAAACAGTGGATTTTAGCTGACTCCCACACCCTCCACTCATTGTAGAGAGTGACACAAAGAGCCAAGTAGTGTGCACCTCTCTGACACGACCCAGACGACCTGTAGTCAAAGACACCCTTCAAACTGCAGAACATTCAATTACAGTA